TGAAAGGAATATACAAAGGGGAAAAGTAATCCTGGTAGTACTTCTTACGCGTTTTCTCTTTTTCTAGGAAAAATAAAAAAATAAAGAAAAAAAAAAAAAAAAAGAAAAAAAAAGGAAATCATATTTCCCCTTTTTATATATGCCGACGCAAACACGAACTCGCACTACTTTTATATACATAATTTTTTTCCCCCCTTGAAAGATATCTCTGGACTTCTCATAAGGGAAAAATATAAACAATTCCTTTTCTTTCTATATAATCCCCACCCTCGCTTATTCTCATCTCCACGCTCCTTGAAATATTTCTTCATTTATGGGGTTGTTGAACATAGAGATATTTTCATATGTCAGAAATTAAAAAAACAGGTAGAAATAAGAGAGATGCTTTCAATTGAACTGAGCATCGCTTTTTTATTTGCTAGATAACTTTTAAACAATTTTTTTATCTGCGTGCATACACACACACACACACACACACACACGCAAACACACAGACAGACATAGGATAGTGAACGAGATGAGAAAAATCGTACGAGAGAGAATTTGTTACCATGCGATCAATTTGGATTTTCTAAAATGGCTTCTCACCCCATATATGACCCTTTTTACTGGAAAATGTAAGTCATGTGTAAAGAGAGAGAGAAAGAGAGAGAGAGAGAGAGAGAGAGAGAGAGAGAGAGAAGATGTCCGTCTGAGAAAATGAGAAAATAGAACAATGTGCCGATCGTTGAAGCTTTCTGTATGCATCTTGTTTTCACATATTTTCTATCAAAATAGCAAGGTTTCTGTTTTGATCCTCTTATATAAGCATACTTTCAGCTACTTACTTATCTAACTTCTAACTTACAAATAGATACTTATCTTGCGTAACAAATTCCATAGAAAATTCAAGGATTTTGTTTCTAATGAATACAACGAAAACTTTCGAAGGATCAAGTAGGATCATTAAGGAGCACGTAGATTGTAAGAAATTACTGTTTATTCTATCTTCTTCTTCAAATTGACGTTCGAAATAGACGAATATCCTTTTTAACTGTAGACTATTTCAGCTGACAAGATCGAGAGGAACCTAGTAAAAATATCGAGCAAACAACGAGACGTGAACGCTTATGCGTTCAAGCTATTATACACATACACATATACATATACACACAGACACATATGTAAGCGCATAAGTACACATATATATATGTACACGCTTATCTACGCATATATACGTATGCACATAGAATGTTGAAATGGAGTCGATGCATGTTCTTGATAAAAATTTCCATTACACGCATTTTCAGGATCGGCAAGGAGAAGAAAAGCGAGTAAAATAGACAGAGACAGAGATAGATAGAGAGAGATAGATAGATAGATAAATTGAGAAAGAGGGAGAGAGAGAGAGGGATAGAGGGAAAGAAAGAAAGAAGGAGAAAAGAAGAAAAGTACAGAAAGAGCACGTCACGCACGATGTCGAAGGAGTACGAGCGGAACAGCCGTCGGCGAATCTTGACGCTCGACTGCACACCGGAATTGATTTTCCTTCGCGATCCTTCCACGCGATCCCGAAGGCACGTGATCCAGGAATCTTCTGAATCTGATGTCGGTCTGACATCCCGTATTCCAAAAGCGTAACCGGTAACATTAACTAGCACCTTTCATCGTACGACCAAAAGAGAGTCTCGACTTGTATGCATATATGTAGTTTACATGTTAAAAAAAAAAAGAACAAAAAAGAAAAAAAAAGAAAATGTCCCAACGCGATGTTCTCTTCTCTTTTTTGCTTCTTTTTTCTTTTTTTTTTCTTTTTTTTTTTTTCTTTTTTCGTTTTTTGTTCTTTTTCTTTTTCCTTTTTCTTTCCCTTTTGCAATAACGATCGTTAACAATATTGTAAACGTGAATTTTAATTTAACAAGTAGAAATAAAGTGAAATTAAATCAATATTCGTAATAACGGATAATAATTAACGTCGATATTCAACTACGGTGGATTAACTGATAATGAGAGGAAATAATGACGGAAATATTAAGGTTGTCTATCGATTTATTGACGATCGTACTTACCTATTTACGATTAGACCAAATCGATAAGTATTTTTTGAAAAGATAAACGTAGATATACATAGATAATTAAAAGGGAGATAGTTATTGATCCAATGATAAATATATCAAATAGATCAAGCAATGATATAGTATTTAGGTATTTTCAAATATTTCAAGGTACATTTTATAATGTTAATTGTTAAAGTGACATAGGCGATTATGATATCGATAATTTTCTAATGGCATCTAATCGATACATTTATCTTGTTAAGAAGACAATTAAAAAAGATCAATCTAGCTAGATACTTTTCTCCTTTGACGTTGTTAAAAGGGTATAGAAACGATCAAATGTAATCGGTGATCGTTCCCAAAGTTCAGAAGTCGAGAAAACAAATAGTAAGTTCCCTTTAGAAGCCGTGAATCGAACTAACGTAGCGATCGGTCTATCAATCAATTCCCTCCGATCGAGTCGACGAAACACCGAACGAAACACAGTACCTATCACGCGCGAAAGAACACCCTTAATCTTCTCGACGAGCTACCAGGGTGGTAGCGATGCTAGTGGCACACGCTACCGTAGACCCGTTTCTCTTGGCTACGCAATATGCAAATTCTCTTGGAACGTGGGGTTCAAAGCGATCGACGAAAAGTGCACGTTGCGGTGTGCTTGAATGGCTCAAAAAAGAGAGAGAACGAGAAGAGAGACAGAGAGAGAGAGAGAGAAAGAGAGAGGCTAGCGCGAATACTAACGTCAGTAGAAGAGGTGATGGTGTAGGGAGGGTTAAGGGATGGGGGTGACTCAGCATCAGGATTTTGACGCTCGACTGCCTGCTGGAATTGATTCTCTTCTCTCTTTTTCTCTTTCTCTCTTTCTCTCTTACTCACTCTTTCGTGGTATCTGCACGCCATACCGACACCGCTGACGCCACTGTCGAGGCTAGGCACGTGACGTAAAAATCTTCTGAACGTGACGTCGTTCTCCATCCTATATTCCAGTCAGGAATAGATAAGAAGAAGTCCTCGCTAGCTAGTAGGTAAGGTAATAATTATGCAGAGAATATCACCGTGCCGAGGACATCGTAGCTCGCATAGTAAGTGGCTTTCGCCTTTTCCAACCCCATCATGGCTTCTGCTCTATTCTACCCCTCTTACTATCCTCGTTTGTCCAGTTACATATCTTTCATGAAATTAAACTGACCTGTCTTTCAACATCTTTTACGAACGATAATCTCGAATGGAAGTGGTGCTATGTATGACAATTTATTCTTATTGAATCCCTTTTCTTTTCCAAATTACGAATATTTCTTTTATATCGTCTTGATCGTTTTTAATTTCATTTTTTATTTTGTTTCCATGCTTACTTGATCGGAAGCAACAGTCAGAGCAGTTTTAATTAAAACTCGAAGGAGGGAAATTGACGTGCCTCTTCTCTTTCCGTTCTTTTTTTCTTTCTTTCTTTCTTTCTTTTTTTTTTTTTTCTTTTTCTTTTTATTATTACTCTTTTTTCGATATTTTTAATAGACACGTATGTAGCGTCGCGTTTCAGAATCCAACTGGATTACCTCTAAATAGACTGATAAAAATGAAAGATAAATTAGCAAACTTTTTTCCCAGTTAAAAATTCACCGTAAAGATTTCTTGTAACGTAACCGCTCGCAATTTAATGCAAGCGTTAAAATCGCGGTCGCAATGACTAGAAATTGCGGTTATCAGGAGCATTTAACTGTGCCGCGTACTAAATTAGAGATAGTGAATCAGTGGAGCATACAGTGTTACGGAACGACTCGTCGTGCATCATGTCGAGGACACCAATGATGCGCGGTGAATACATTAATGTTCCTGGCATTACATAGATACAACGTTTTATTACGTCAACCAGCGCGGAACCGTAATTTCCTTCCTAGTTTTCTCTGCCCATGTTGGAGTACCGAACTGATTGTACCGCGCACGCGCATGCGCTCGCTGTGCTATTTTAATTTTTGTTTATTCTTAATTTATAATATAAATCACGTCGACTAATAAACTTAGCGATATGTTTTTTTTTTTTTTTTTTTTTTTTTAATGTTTGCCCTAAAGACAAATAATGCCTAGGTAATTGTTTACATTTTTAGTAATTATCTTTTTTTTTATAAAATATATATATATATATATATATGCCCGAATATTTATGAAGTTAATCAAGTTTAAGAGATTCTCAATCTCTTTTATTTTCAATAAAAATTAATCAATCGCCCTTAGTAATTTGTTCGATACTAGTGAGTGTCGGAAGACACGTACATTTCGTGCTATATATTCAAAGGGTTGATCTTAAGAATTGTTCGATACAGGGATACTATTTGAACGCTACTCACGTTTCTGTTTTCTTCTTTGGTGGAAAGCAACGGTGACGTTAATGCGCGTTACAAATCACGTGAGATCCTAAATGTACCAAGAGTAAATGCGACATAAGGCGGCTTTCGGTGAGTAACGTTCATTCTATTGGATTCGAGTGTGCTGTCATCGTGCGTCATGTTATTTCAAACAGTGACATATCCGCTTGCTTTCTGACTACCTTGTGTACCTTTAAGGTGCTTTACTTATCGCCTTTACGATACTTCGAAGATACCACGTACAAAGTATTACAGAAATATTTATTTGAAAAGATTGAAGAATATGATCGAATATTATTTTTTATATATAAAAAAAAATATATATATATATGTATATGAAAAAAGAAAAGAATGGAGATATGAGTTTAGGTAAAACTAGCATCGTATAAATTTTCATTTTAAATGAATACGAACGATACAATCGTAATAATATATATATATATACATATATAAATAAAATGAAAACGATCGTGGAAAAGATTTCGAAAATGTTTCCATAGAATCATCTATTTCCGTGAAACACAAAATAATTTAACTCCTGAGGTAATAAACGGCGTCGATTTCATCTTTAACGATAATTTCGTTTCCATTTCAATTGACTTACCGTCAATGCGTTTATCTTCTTTCACCCTGTTCTCATTCCTTCCATAAGTGATTCTGTAAAACAGGCGAAGTTCGATAGAACGAACGTTTCTCATTAGAATTTCTCATTAGCGAATAAAAACTAATTTACAGTACGAGTATAATATGGTTGTATACGAAGCGAATAAAAAGGATTAGAAAAGTTATCTAAAACTAAAAATCAATACAATGAAAATAATTCCTCCTCGTAGAAATCTATGAGTATATTTCGTATTGCGTTAAAGTCTTTATTATTAAATCGTAGCAAGAAATTAAGAGGGATTAAGCCGAGAAAATCTACGAAGCCCCATAGGCGTACACAAACTTAGTGTCAGCCGGTGATGGGTGAACGCGAATTAGCACGATTAAGATGCTATCGCGTTTCACTGGACAGGAGTGTTACGAGGCCGGTGGTAGTGAATGGAAGGAGACTATGTGAAATACTTAAGCACCTAGAGACTGTACTGCTGGTGACGATAGAGAGGGTGTTAGTGGTGGTGATGGTGGTGGTGGTGGTGGTGTGGAGTGGGAAGTGAGTAGTGGTAGTGGTGCTGGCGGAGGAAAGAGCGGGGAAAAGAGAGAGAGAGAGAGAGAGAGAGAGAGAGAGAGAAGGGTTTTGGTATCCGACCTCAAAGTAACTGGCAAGTGGAACGACGGAGGTATATGTTGTCCCGTATGGGATATCTATGGGTCTATGTTGTAAGAGAGAGAGGGGGGGAGGTGGGTTTCAAGGTGGATATCCGGGGTGGTCGTGTTGCCTGGGATTACGGAAATACAGGAAGGGGTCGGGTGGACCTGCCACGTAACGCCAGTGTGGCCCTGGCTCTGATGCTGAGTTACGTTCTATCCTATATCCCTTGGACCTATTACACACGCGGGACACCCTCATAAATACAACGCAAAATCGTTCTAGATCCTCTGTCGGCCACGGTGATATGCATCCGTCAAACTTGCAACCAACCGTCCGCCATTATCCTCTTTTTCTTTCGCACATTGGAATAGCAAACTAATAGGAGTATTCACGATGTAATTTCGTAACTCAATTTCATTTTGATTTTCATGTGAACGAACTTGTTAGAGATAGCTTTATCGATGATAATCAATAGCTATACTCGTTGTATCAATGGATTGGGATAGCTAATCGATGTGTTCATGTTTGTTCCCGAGATTAGAGTACACCTATTTTAATGATACGATTATACGAGTCGCATTGTTTCACATAGGTAGATTATAACGCGGAGAATTGGATTAAAATAGTAATCGGACTATTTGTTATTAATGTAAAATAATGATTTCTTTCTCTCTTCTTTTTTTTTGTTTTTTTTTTTTCTTTTCTTTTCTTCTTTCTATTATCGATCGATAAATTGTCATTTCCGAATATCAATCCTAGGAATGGCCATTGCAATCGTAGCGAAGCAATACATTCTATTCTCTAGAATATTCGAATTCAGCAATTAACTATGTAACACGGCATCTTGGCTAGAACGCCGAAAATTTTAGTCGAGATGGACGCGTATGCGAATTATAATCGGATCGGCTATGCGACAAGGCAGATATAACATAGCGTTCGTTATTCGGCTCAACGTTTAATGCGCGCTTAACATCAGAGTTACTCGATCATTGCTTGCAACATAGAACGAAGATAATCCCCATTGGTATGATTATTATGAATAGAGGAACAAAGTCGTTGGTATTCATATTCCGTTACTAAATACCATAAATGCAAAGTGAAAGGATGAAAAGAATGAAATGAAAAATTTATTAAACTGAAGTGACCTTTTCCCTTAATGCCATCGAAACTTTATGAGAGAAAGATGAATCAACGATAATCAAGTATTAATGGCGCAGCGGTAAAAAGGAAAAGTCATACGGTTTTAATTTAATTATGGTTTGAACAATGGAACGCATCGATATGTTAAATTAAAGTATGATATGAAAACGACGAGAGAAAGCGACTTATTTTCTTTCGATAATTCCTATTTGCTTATAATACGATCGATCTATACGGTCGAGTTAGAATTTATAAATGAATACTTTCTATCTGTTATTTTTTTGTCACCCTATCTCTCTCTCTCTCTCTCTCTCTCTCTCGTTCTTTCTCTTTCGTATATATCTCGGAAGAGAATAAAGAAATAAAGTGAACGAACAAAAGATGAACGAACCGAAGCGGCTTCGATCGATAGAACGCATAATTAAATGTTCGCGCATTAGTTATATCATTAAACGTTCGAATATCTATTGGAAAAAACGATAAAAATGTTTCTCGTGTTCAATAACGAGCTTTAATAAATAATTCGATTAATGATCCTGCTGTCGACAATGCTTTTACGTATTAATTATACTTTCAACTAATCTAATGACTAATGAATAATATTCCTATACAATTTAGTTAGTACATTTCATGTTAGTACATTTCATGTTTAATTTTCAACGTTTACCTAGTTATATGATTTCGTTCGATTTGTTTACACTTTTACTTTCTTTTACTAATTAATAACGTATTTCAAAGGACCATGTTGAAGAGTCGAGAGATGTTCAAAATTTAATGTCAACATTGAATTATTAATCACAAATAGAATAAGCAAATATTAAAAGCATCAAATATAAGTAATGCCATCTGAAGATTGACGTTATTAATGAGATTGTATATCTAAATATATACATTTAAATATATATGTATATATTATGGTTAAAATTATAAATATATAAATATATATATATATATAATTTTTGGATTTTTATAGTTTCTCCAAAATCAAATAATTTATAGCACGTTAATATAATTTAATTTTATTACAAGTGATCAGTAATTCAATTAATTTGCATTTCAAAGGAAAGGACGATTTGATGAGAACGTATGTATTCACGTAATAAATACACCATCAAAGTTAATCGTGTATATTTGAATAAAGTTAAATAATCACGAAAGAGTACAAAATTTCATTTAAAATTTAATATAAAATTGGCTAACAATAGTGATAAAAGAGAATTTTATAATAAAAGTAATATTCGTAAAGTTTTCCTGTCAAAGTCAAGCGCTGTTTTTTAAAAATTGATTAATTAGTTATTATTAATTAATTAGCTATAAGTAAACAAATTTATAAGCTATCAGAGAAGTTATCTTATTGCCTTGGAATATTCTTGAATACGTGGAGTTTGAGTTTACCATAAAAGATGATACGGATTATTCTTCATATGAAATCTCTTAAAGGATAGATCCATCCAATATTGGTATTTATTTATATAAAGTCATCGTGAGATCTTCGATCTGTTTAATATCATATCCTTTATGTTTTTAAATGAATTAACAAAAATATATAATTTATTCATTTATTGATAAACGATCGAATCAAGTAATACCTTTCTCTATCTCTCTTTTCTCATTCTTTCTTACCGAAAGAGATGAAAATATTTAAAAGGTTTTTCCCCGATAAGAAGGAAGAAACGAGGATAAAAGAAGAGAGTTAGAGAAAGAAAGGGAGGGAAAAAAAAACACCGATAGCTATCAGGCGATGGAGTTAAATGAGAAAGAAGTTCGATCGATCGATATCCATACAATCTTAATCAACGTTTTACTTCTCGCAAGGTTCTCGAAAATTGATCAATCCAGACGGCTCACGAAAAGCATTGCCCTAGCATACATATACCCTTCGAACTCGTTAAAGCATCCTACACCCGAGCTTCGGTCAGAGCTTTCTACTTGCTCGATTCACCATACGCTTCCACTTTTACAGTGGCACGTGCTTTAACAGACGTATACGGACACATATAAATAGGTATTCGCTATATATATATAAAATGTATATATAGAAGCATGCAAACGAACTCTCTTTCGCATACGTTGAAAGATATTTAGTGTTCAGACAGTGAAATGGTCAAGTAGTATAGCACTTGGAGATACGCATTGCGGAACCTAGTGTGAGCCTTTAAACCGTCTGCGAAGTTGGCTTTCGCCCTCTCGTATCAACCCCTTTTAGCTTTTCTCTTCTTTATCTACGTATCTCAGTCTTTTTCTTCCTTCCTTTATGTCTTTTGTTGTCTCTCTTTTCTCATTTTTTTCTCCTTGTCTCTCTCTCTCTCTCTCTCTCTCTCTCTCTGTCTATCTCTCTCTCTACTCTCCTGCTCTTCACGCACATCCCTAAATGTGATTGTAGCCGGCATTAAAAAATTGCTTGAAACAATGAATAAGGAGATCGTGTTCTTGAAAGAGAAAAAGAATAATTTTCTCTCTCTCTCTCTCTATTTTTTTTTCAATTGATACTGAATTTACTGAATCGGGATCTTGGTATATTGGAATTTTGATGAAACTTTTTTACTTTCTCCACTATTTTTTTTTATTTCTATCACGATCGTGTTTTCATTCTTCCTACAAGCTAGCACTGTACGTTCACTTCTATTTTTATACATGCAAAACGATATCTATATATGTGATTTAATAATAAAAAAAAAAAAAAAAAAAAAAATTGCAATTTCTCTTTCGGATGATATTATTAAAAAAAAAAAAAAAATAATAAAAAGAAAGATGAATAAATAAATAAAAAATAATCTCGTAACTTTAAATCACGTTTGCGTATCGAATCGATATACGGATTATATAGAAACAATTTAATTAATATTCCCAAATAAAACATTTATTTCTAAATTTTTTGATTGAATTCGATTAAAATATTATAGCCATTGAATAATTCGATCAATCCGTAAAAAACAAAAAAAGAAAAAAAAACCTTTTGCTTCGTCGAAAAATCGGAAATATATTTCTTCGCAAAGAGAAATAGCGATACGAGGGAGGAAATAGAGATGTGTATATATATATATATATATATATATATATATTGAAGGAAAGAGAAAGAGATAAAGAGGGGAAAACTTTAGAGAGTATAAACCCTTTCGTAGACACTCGTTGAAAACGTATTTCAGTCGAATTCAATCGAGAAAGCGTGACCGTTGAATTTTCGCACTATGTTGTTATACCTGTACTATGTGGTTTGCTATACGAACGAAAAGCTGGCTTTTTCCACTTTCGAACTCGGTTGCCA